TCCAGCTACTTGGAAGGCTGAGGTGGAAGGATCGCCTGAGCCCAGCAGGTCGAGGCTGTGGTGGTTGTGAGCCTGCCACTGCACTCCAGCCTGGGCAACAGAGTGAGATAGAGTGAGACTCCAACTCCAAAATAATAATAATAATAATAATATTTGAGAGTGAAAGATTTTTACCCTGGCACTGACACCACTTAGCCATGTTGATTTTCCTGTTGCTAAGTAACTCTGTCCTTTGGGAGAGGGTCAAGGATGAACTCAATGCTGCCTTTTGCTCTGGAGCAAACTATTTTAGAGGATGCTCTGCTGCAGGATTCTACTATTTCTGCAAATATAAGACCCCACATCTGACAGTATGTCCGAGTGCAGCCTTCTGTAGCCTTGCAGCTTCCCTGAGACCACATCTTTTCCTTAATGTCTGGACAACAGGATGGTGGCTGTTTACAAGATGACTTCCTTCTTTTTCTCACACAGGACTACATGGCCCTAAAGAAGGAACAGGTGGCAGGGGTGGGGAGGGTGCTTCAGGGAATCTTTCTCTCTTTTCCTTCCCCAGCACCCAACAAACCAGCTCAGGCTCACAGGCCCCGCCGACAGGGGGATTATTTATTTTTATTTCAATAGCCTTAGGTGGTATAAATAGTTTTTGGTATGGGCTTTAAGTGTTCCTTCCACTCCCACCTGTACAAATTGTACCTGATAGGTGATTTTTTTTTGTCTCTCTACCCCTTCTGCCCCCCACCCTCCCATTCGGAGTCTCCAGTGTCCATTATACATTCTACGTCTTTGTGGATCCTTGATTTAGCTTCCACTTATAAGTGAGAGCATGTGGTTTTCGGTTTTCTGTTCCTGAGTTAATTCACATTGGATGATGTTCTCCAATTCCATCCAAATTGCTGCAAAAGACATTATTTCATTATTTTTGATGGCTGATAGTATTCCATAGGTATATATAATACATTTGCATTATCCACTGATTGGTTGATGGGCATTTAGGTTGATTCTACATCTTTGCAATTGTGAACTGTGTTGCAATGAACATTTGGTTCAAATGTTTTTGTTTTTTTTTTTCAGTTGGAGTCTCACTCTGTCACTCAGACTGGAGTGCAGTGGCCGCTCCCGGCCACTGCAGCCTCGACCTGCTGGGCTCCGGCAATCCTTCCGCCTCAGCCTTTCAAGTAGCTGGAACTACAGGTGCGCGCTATCATGCCTGGCTAATTTTTTATTTATTGTAGAGATGAGGTCTCGCCAAGCTACCTAGGTGGGTCTCGAACCCGTGGGCTCTGGCAATCTACTCACCTCTGCCTCTCAAAGCGCTGGGATTACAGGCTGAGCCACCGAGCCCGGCTTTGTTTTTTTAATTTTTTTCTTTTCTTTTTCCGGCTTTTTTTTTTTTTTTTTTGAGTTGGAGTCTCACTCTGTCGCCCAGACTGGAGTGCAGTGGCCACTCCCGGCCACCGCAGCCTCGACCTGCTGGGCTCCAGCAATCCTTCCACCTCAGCCTTCCAAGTAGCCGGAATTACAGGCATGCGCTACCACGCCCGGCTGATTTTTTTGATTTATTGTAGAGATGAGGTGTTGCTACCCAGGCGGGTCTCGGACCCACGGGCTCAGGCAATCCACTCACCTCAGCCTCCCAAAGGCGCAGGATTACAGGCTGAGCCACCAAACCCGGCTCCGGCTTTTTTGTTGTTGTTGTTGTTGTTGTTTAAATTGAGTTGGAGTCTCAGTCTGTCGCCCAGACTGGAGTGCAGTGGCAGGCTCACAACCACCGTGGCCTCGACCTGCTGGGCTTAGATGATCCTTCCACCTCAGTCTTTTAAGTAGCTGGAATTAAAGGCGCATATTACC